TGTCTTCCAGGTCCGGCTTCTGGTTTCCGGTTTCCGGCTTCCAGCTTCCAGCTTCGGGCTTCCGGCGTCCGGCTTCCGGCTTCCGGCTTCCGGCTTCCGGTTCCCGGTTTCCGGCTTCCGACCTCTTTCCTGATTCCGGATCCGCCCTACTTTGGGGGAGTTCGCAAGTAGGGCTTGGAATTTCCGCCTTACTTTTCAAGCCCCGCTAATGCCAATGTCCGCCCTACTTTTCTGTTGCTGTTTCCGTCCTACTTCTGTGGATTTCCGCCGGTATACTTTATGTTGGGTGCAGAAATTTCCGCCCTACTTTTTCGGCTTCTCATAGGTGGATTTCCGACGCAATTTTAAGTTGGGGAAAAAGCTATGGCGGATTTGGAGTCAGGGCTCGGCTTCCGGCTTCCAGGTTCCGGGCCCCGGCTTCCGGCTTCCAGTTTCAGTTTCCGGCTTCTGGCCTCCTGTTTCCGGCTTAGCTTCCAGCTTCCGGTGTCCAGCTTCTGGTTTCCGGTTTCCGGCTTCCGGCTTCCGGCTTCGGGCTTCCGGCTTCTGGCTTCTGGCTTATAATCCAGCTTAAGGCTTCCGGCGTGCGGTTTCCGGCTTAAGTTTCCGGCATCCGGCTGCCGTCTTCCGGCTACCGGCTTCCTGCTTCCGGCTTCTGGCTTCCGGCTTCCGCAGCTTCTGTATGGCTTCCGGTTTCCGGTTCCCGGTTTCCGGCTTCCGGTTTCCGGGTCCAGCTTCCAGCTTCCGGCTTCGGGCTTCGGGCTTCTGGTTTCAAATGGCTCCCGGCTTCCGGCTCCCGGCTTCTGGCTCCCGGCTCCCGGCTCCCGGCTTCCGACTCCGGCTTCCGGCTTCCGGTTCCCGGCTTCCGGCTTAAACCCGGCTTTCGGCTTCCGGCTTCCCGCTTCCGGGCTCCGGGTTCCGGCTTCCGGCTTCCGGTTTCCGGCTTCCTGCTTTCGGTTTCCGGCTTCCGGTTAACCGGCTTCCGGCTTCCGGGTCCGGCTTCCGGCTTCCGGCTTCCGGCCTCCCGCTTCCGGTTTCATCCGGCTCCCGGCTCCTGGCTCCCGGCAACCGAAAACAAGAATAGACATTTTTAGAAATTCTGAGCTTCCCTCTGAGGCGCCGTGCGCACAGTATCTATTAGTATTTTTTTTTAGAAATAGACGTTTTTAGAAATTATCGTGCTCCCGCTGAGGCCCGGTGATCATAATATCTAAAAGTATATATTTCGGACAGTGCCTATAAATATTGTTGTGCATCGGCTATGTTGCAAGATTTCCGTGTCTATTAGTGTCTAACTAGTATCTATTTAGTATCTATGTTTGAGCAACAGTATCTATTTTTAAAGCACGAAGTGGCGACCATAGTAGAGCTGAGAAGACCAGCTTCAAACAGTCCACGACATTCAATCGAAGGTGGCGTGGATGCATGCACGTGAACGTCTGCATTGCCTTGTATGCATGTGACGATGTGTGCATGTGTATGGGTTCGCGCGGAAGTGTATGGCGTACGTGCGCGCGCGTGTGTGTGTGTGTGTTAGTGTGTGTGTGTGTGTGTGTTAGTGTGTGTGTGTGTGTGCGTGTATGTGTGTATGTGTGTGTATGTGTGTATGTGTGTATGTGTGTATGTGTGTATGTGTGTGTGTGTGCGTTCGTGTTTGTGTTGTGTTGTGTTGTGTTGTGCTGTGTTGTGTTGTGTTGTGTTGTGTTCTGTTCTGTTGTGTTGTGTTGTGTTGTGTTGTGTTGTGTTGTGTTGTGTTGTGTGTGTGTTGTGTTTGTGTGTGGGTGTGTGTGTGTGTGGGGGGGTGTCTGTCTGTGTGCGTGCGCGCGTACGTTTGTGTGTGTGTGTGTGGAGGGCCTTGAAGGGCCCCAAGAGGGCGCCTGGGGTGAGTAAACACAGCTTCGAGTCATATACACTGCTAAGGCCCTCTTGGGCCCCTCTCGGACCCTTTCTTCGGCCCTCTTGGGGTACTCAGGGGGCCCTCCGAGACCCTCCATGAATCTCGAAGGGCCCTTAGACGGTTCCAAGAGGGCCCGAAAGGGTTCACCCCTTGAAACCACAGCCTCGAGTCATGTACACCGCTGGGGCCCTCGTGGACTCCTCTTGGGTTCCTCTTGGGGCCAGTTGGGGCCCCCCGAGACCACGCTGGAGAGCCCCGAAAATGCTTTAAGAGGGCCCCCACGAGGGCTCCAAGGGGGTCAACCCCCAGTCGAAATAAAGGCACGCGACCAACTCGCCAACTCGCCATCCTTCCTCCTCCTCGTCCTCGTCCAACTCGCCATCCTTCCTCCTCCTCGTCCTCCCCCTCCTCCCTGCTCCTCCTCCTCACTGCTTCCTCCTCCTCCACCTCCAGTGCTGTCTCGCAGGGCCCCAATAAGGCTCCAAGGAGGGCCCAGGAGGAGTCAAACCGAAGTCACGCGAGTGCCCTTCTTGGGGCCCTATTGAGGCCCTCTCGGGGCCCTCAAATGCTGTTACGGAGAGCCCCAAGAGGGCTCCAAGGGGGGCCCCCAGAGATCCAGGTGTGGCCGTGTGTGTCTATATACATATAACGGCGCACCGGGTCCGGGGGCCCGGGGCCGGGACCCCGACCGCAAATGTGCACCCCGGGGGGCCCGGAGGCTCGTCGGGGCTTGCCGGAGGCCTCCCCAGTCAGACAAGACGGCCCAAGAAGCGCCCAAGACGGCCCAAGAAACTTCCAAGAGGCCTCCAAGAGGGCTCCGAGATGCTGAAGATGGCCTCCAGACGTCCAAGGACGCCCCCAAGAGGCCCCAAGAAGCCTCCAACATGCGTCCCAAGAGGGCCCCTAGACGCAAAAATTGGCCCATTCCCTTCGTAAAACGTACATTTTCAACAAAGTTGTCTTTTGGGTTTTCCGACGTTACAGGACGGCCCAAGAGGCGCCCAAGACCGCCCCAAGACGGCCCAAGAAGCTTCCAAGAGGGCCCCAGGACAGCCCAAGAGGGCCCCAAGACGGCCCAAGAGGCGCCCAAGATGGCCCAAGAGGGCCCCAAGACGGGCCCAAGAGGGGGCCCAGAGGGGGACCACGAACCGCAAGCTCGAGCCCTCCGCCCCAAGAGGCCGCCAGGAGGCCCCCAGGAGGCCCCTCAAGAGGCCCCAGGAGACCCCAGACGTCCAAGGACGCCCCCAAGAGGCCCCAAGAAGCCTCCAACATGCGTCCCAAGAGGGCCCCTAGACGCAAGAATTGGCCCATTCCCTTCGTAAAACGTACATTTTTAACAAAGTCGCCTTTTGGGCTTTCCGACGTTACAGGACGGCCAAGAGGCGCCCAAGACCGCCCCAAGACCGCCCAAGAAGTTTCCCAGAGGGCCCCAGGACAGCCCAAGAGGGCCCCAAGACGGCCCAAGAGGCGCCCAAGATGGCCCAAGAGGGCCCCAAGACGGGCCCAAGAGGGGGCCCAGAGGGGAACCACGAACCGCAAGCTCGAGCCTTCCGCCCCAAGAGGCCGCCAGGAGGCCCCCAGGAGGCCCCTCAAGAGGCCCCAGGAGACCCCAGACCTCCAAGGACGCCCCCAAGAGGCTCCAAGAAGCCTCCAACATGCGTCCCAAGAGGGCCCCTAGACGAAAGAATTGGCCCATTCCCTTCGTAAAACGCACATTTTCAACAAAGTCGCCTTTTGGGCTTTCCGACGTTACAGGACGGCCCAAGAGGCGCCCAAGACCGCCCCAAGACGGCTCAAGAA